AAACTTTACTTCAGAATATGTAGTGCAGTTCCAATTCCATGAAGCACTCTCATCAAATGTGGCATCCCTTAACAGAATAATCTTTCTTGAAATTGGGTCAAACAATCTGTAGCCTTTTTCACTTGTACCATAGCCTACAAAGATACACTTGTGACTGTTTTCTTCCAGTTTATGTCTGAGATTAGAAGGTATATGCACATAGCACAATGAGCCAAATATCTTCAAATGAGCTATTCCAGGTTTTCTGCCACTGTAAGCTTCAAATGGGGTTGACTTCTTCAAAGCTTTGGTAAGACACATTTTGATCAAATAGACTGCAGTATTCACTGCTTCTGCCCAAATGCATATGAAAGTTTTCTTTCAGACACTCCATTTTGTTGAGGAGTGTAGGCCATAGTTAATTGTCTCTGAATTCCTTGTCCATTACAGTGTCTGCCAAACTCTGCAGAAAGGAATTCTCCCCCTCGATCACTTCTAAGACATTTAACCTTATATCCACATTGTAACTCAATCATTGCCTTGAACTTTTTGAAATATTCAAACGCATCAGACTTATTTCTCAGAAAGTACACCCATGACATCCTTGTACAGTCATCTGTAAACAACAAGAAGTACTTGTTTCCAAAATGAGACTCTACTTGCATTGGACCATAGATATCCGTATGAATCAACTCCAGTGGATCTTTAGTTGTCCAAGTCGATTGAGAAGGGAATGAGTCCCTATGTTGTTTGCCTAACATGCAACCTTCACACACACTTGATGACATTTCTAATTTAGGCAATCCGTGCACCAGCTCATGTTCTTCAAGTACCTTGAGACTTCCCTCATTCAAATGACCCAATCTCTTATGCCATATCTGAGAGCAATGTGTGACACCTGCTCTTAGTACATACTGTGTTGCAGGCAACATTGTCAAAAACATTTATTGTTGGTCATATGCACCCTTACTACTAAATTATCCAGTGACCAACCATCAAAAATATTAACTACATCTCCTCCAAACAACAGATAATAACCGTTTTCCATCATTTGTCCTACACTGAGAAGATTTTCCTCAAGTCTAGGAACAAGCATTACTTCTTGTATATATTTTCTTCCCAATTTAGTCTCAATCACCAAGGTTCCATTTCCTGTCACTTGACAAATTTCTCCAGTTCCCATCTTTACTTTAGAAGTCAAATTTCTCTTAACATTGACCAACAGTTTCTCATCTCCTGTCATGTGGTTACTACAACCACTATCAATGTACCATGAGTTATTGACTTTCACATCTGTCACTGCATTGCAGGCATAAAACAATGATCTTGTATCTCCCATCTGCTTTACATAATTAACTTTCTGCACTCCTTTATTCTCATGACAATCTTTCACAGAATTGTCTGGCTTACCACAACCTATGCATTTTGGTTTACCTTCATACCAACACTTCCCATAGTGTAACCTGTCACACCATTTACAATCACTCTTAAAGTTGTTTTGCTTCTGAGCATAATTAGGCCTATGATCCCAATTCCTTTGAGTATTATTCTATCTCTGAGAATAATTGGGTTTGTGATCCCAACTTCTTTGAGTGTTATTCTGCTTCTGAACAAAGTTTGGCTTATGATCCCAACCTTTTCCCTTTGACTTCCAATTCTCTTGAGACCTCTGATTCCCAAAAATTCCACCACTTCTGGCACCCTTAGATGCTACATTTCAACTTGCAAATGCTCTCTCAGTCGAAGACTCAGTATGTAAACCAAGCCTTTGCTCGAATCCTTTTAGAGAAGCCATAACTTCTTGAACCTTAATAGTTTCAAGATCTCTAGAATGCTCAATCACAAAACATATTGCATCATATGTTTTTGGAAGACTAATCAGTAATTTCTGCACAATTCTCTCCCTAGATAATTCTTCTCCATAACTTTTCATTTGATTAATGATATCAAACAATCGAGAAAGATATACAGTTAATGGTTCACTATCCTTCGTACGAGTATATTCAAAATCTCTACGTAACCCTTGCAATTTACATTTCTTACTTGTTTATCACCTCGGAATTCACCCTTTACAACATCTCAAGCTCCTTTGGATGTTTCTTCATTCACGATTCTGGGAAAGATCTGGTCCGAGACTGCGCCTTGAATCATCCCAAGCGCACGAGCATCCTTCATCAAAATCTCACTGAATGACACTTCACTTGACGTCTCCTTCTTCATCTCGTCGACTGCAGCTTCCTTAGACTTCAGATCTGGAGGTTCAAACCCATTTTCAACCAACTCCCACAAACCATGAGATTTCAAAATGATTTTCATTCGAATACTCCAGAACTCATAATTTTATCCATTGAACACTGGAGCTCTAAGCTCGACATTACCAGATCCATCCATGTTAGACTTGGATTCAAGTAATCTCAATTTCCAGATTCGATTGAAGCTCAAAGATGTAGCTCAATCGCACTCACAGATTTCACGCCCAGTTTAGACAGTGAAACCAAGCTCTGAGGCCATGTTAATGTTTGTGTGTTTTTTATATGTATTTCAATGGAGATTCTCTTCAATGGTGGAGAGTGTTAGAGAGAAGATGATGCAAAAAATGTCTCTTCAAATTTCATGCTCAACACACAAATACATTATAACCGTTATATGAGGAAAGGAAGGGAGATCCTTCACTCACCAACATACAATACAATCTTAACCATTAATTGCTATCATCCTATGAGATGATGCCACTTGTCTTATTCTATTACTTAGGCTAGATACATGATTAATCTGCCATGTGGACTATGATCCAATGGCTCACATTCAAACTGAAATAAAACATGAAACTTGATCTTTGCCGCCAAGCTTCAGCTAAAGGGTTACACACCAACAGTGTCAACCCTTCATCAGCCCCATTTCTTGACCTTGTTTCTCGAGCATTTCCATCGCCATTATTTCCTCTTCTTCTAAATTGACTTCTTTCATCTTCTAAGAAGGAAGGCTTACACAAGATAAGGCAGCAGCGTCTCTGGTAGCACCATGGAGATCAGGGCTGACAACAGAGAGATGAATCAGCAATTGAGAGGAGTGAGGAGGTACAAATGACATTGCAGAGTAAGCAAAAAGAAAGATTTTCACGCTCTAATTTTCTCTATCTGCACTATTATACTTTGATCAATCCTTGATTCTCTTATAGTTTTTAGTTTTTTTTTTTTTTATCAAATATAGTTTTTAATTTTTATTTTATGTGCAAATCGGAAAATGGAATTCCTCTTGAGGTTAAATTGTGAATTGTTGTTCAAAAAAAAAAGAAATTGTGAATTTGAAGTCATCGAATAAAAGGCTGTGCAACAGTCTATAACACTTTTTGACGAATTTCTCAAAACTGAGATTAATCTTTTGTGGTCACTTGGTATTGCAGTCTAGTAGTATTCTTTTTCACTAGTAAGTGAGAGGTAAAGGTTACATTTTTGCCAAATGCGACTTTGAAACACATTATTATCACTAGTCCAGTGTGAGGTTTAGCTCACTCCCCCACTCCCTTAGTGTAGATATAATCATTTGTTAAAACAAAACAAAAAAATATTAATCTTTTGTGAAAATTAGGTCAGTAGTTCCAAGGCCGTCCAATTATCCCGGAAATGGACTAGGCTCGTGCCGAAAAAAAAGAGTCGAGCGGCTGGGTGCAAGTTGAAACGTCCCAGATACCTAGACTTGAAACTAGAGTGAAATGCATGTATTGTGATGTAAAATTGGTGAATGAGAAAAGCTACAAAAATAATTGAAAAAAAATTTGAAAATTGGACTTTAATTTTTGGTAGTTATCATTTTTTTTTTTTTAAGTAGTTTCAATTCTTTGAAAACTAAATACTGAACTTGGTCACCAAATAATTTTTTGGTTTTCAAAGAAACTACAAATAAAATAATTATGAAATGGCCTTTTAACATTCATTCATCATGCATTCTGGTTTGTACAAAGCCTCTTAAACGATAAAAATCTCAATACGGAAATTGGAATTTAATATAACAAAAAATAAAATTAATTTACTAATTTGAGATATCCATCATGATCTTTATTATTTATAGAGAGAAAGATCATCAGTAAAATTTTAAGGATAGTATGCTCTCAGTGTTTCATGCACACTAGTTAAGATGTTCAATATTTATCTAATGTCCAAAAATTTCGATGTAGGATGCACAACGGTTTTTGGCTTGCAATCTGTTAAAGGCATTTGTTTTGGGTACACAGGGCCATAAGGTTTAAATCTTATCCTTGATATGGCAATAGAAAATAATGTCGGAGAAATTACACGATTAAGTAGACTTATTCTCCTAGGTCCTAGGGTTCAAAAAAATTGTAGTCACCCAGGATTCGATCATAATCTAACGGTAGATGATTATTTAACTTTTTTTGTTGTTCTTTCTCCTTCACGTTGGATTCAAATCAAATGGTAGGCTACCACATCTTTGTTGGACCCTGAAATCTAGGAGAATGGGACTCTACGATTAAGGTAGGGAAGTGATTTCCACATTGTTAGCCTCTTATACACCCCGGTTTAACCATAGCCGTTGAGTTCACTTGACTTACTCAATTTGATAGTCATAAATAAAGGAATGTTCGTAAGAAGCTAATAAAGATGTGTGAAACTCACTTCCTTTAAGGTATTGGGTCGAATGTAGTCCTTTTTGTTTGGACAAAACTTATCTTTTAGACGTCAATGGATGAAAGAGAGAGTCACAATCTATCGTTGTGGTTAGTGGAGAGCAGCCATCTTAAACTTTGACCTTCATTGAAATCTGTTATTCTGGTCAGGGAGAAATTATCAAACGTCTAGCATGAAAGGTTGGAGAGAATGTAAAAGCCACTCATATCCATCACGAAGATTGTCATTATTCTAATTTCTAAGCCACTCATATATAGCTAAATCATAACTTGCATCGGATGACAACATTACATAATCCACAGCAACCAAATTAAATATATGGGTTACATGGTCGGTAATATCGTTGTGGAATTAACAACAATAAGTCACGTATCTTTAGAGAATACAATTTTAAAAAGTCACTTCACTTCTTATTCACTGGATTAGTATGGTATGTTATAATACAAGACTGCTAGTTAAAAAAACACATACAAGCATTATATGTTTCTTAAGGTTGACGGGACGACACAGCGTATCAGAATGTTTGATAAATAAAAACGCTACGAAAATACTTGAATGTACGAGTCCATTGATCGTTGAGATTGTGATCATCATGAAGGTTGAAGAGTGGAGGATGTAAAAGCCAATCATTTCCATCAATGTACGAAATGTCCAAGAAAGGAGCTGCTTCAGATTCATTCAGTTGCCTTCCATACGAAACCCTATATGTATAATTCGCACCGGACCCCATGCAATCGTACTCCCCAAATAATACCGTCCTGCATTCAAATAATTTTCTTTGGAATTACAAGACAAAGAAAATGAGAACAACTTATTTGACATGAGTACACTGTCACAATGCATAACGTGTCAATAATACAGGAATATGCATTAATTTATCTCTGTGTCTTTGTATTATTGGTACGAAACACTACTGTGGCAGTGTACCGTGCCATACAAGTTGCAATTTAACTTTTGGACATAAAAGCAATGAGGAGGAATTAAGCAATTAGTACTGACGGGTCTCTGGAGGGGTCTTTCCAGTCATTCCATCCATCTGAAGCAACAACATCAGACATGTATGTTTTCGAAAACACAACAGTCGCATAAGCTCCCCATGCTCGACCAAGCCACACTGTCCCACTTCCTCCAACGCTACAATTCACAAAGGAAAACCCGCTTTGCTCCTGCATCGACTGCCTTCCTTGAGCCGTGATGGCTCCGCTTATCCCCGATTTGACTGCATTTGCTATGGAGTTAAGGATGCACCCCTGTTGGAACATTATGTGAAATGCCTTTTTAGTATCAAATGAGTGCTAATACCGTCGGATCAAATGAAATAACAAACATTAACATAAGGTGTGTGGAAGGTAAAAGGGGATGTGTAGATAGCACCACCCCTATCTGACAGATAAAATATTGACATGTCACGCCATTCGGTGATTAAAATTTAAGAAAAAGTTTCCTTGTGATCTACCTCATATAGTGATCTAGCCTTTCCAAAAATGAAATCAATGGAGCCCTGAATGAAACATTCTCTAAAATAATGTCTCCCACGATCATCATTAAGCGTGTCTTGTGCACCATAAAAGCCACACCCATAAAATGCAGCTTGGTCTCCTGCAATTCTCAGGGCCACTGCCTGTGCTCCAATTCTTCCCGGAGCTGGCGGCGGAGCTGTGTTCTTCTCGAATAAAAACAAAAGAAAATAATTTACAAACTGAAATCCCACATTTAAAATTAAAATACGAAACAGTTTACATGTTCTTTACCTGAAAGCTAATGTTGTAGGCAGTGAAACAAGGAGCAAAGATGGCAACTGAAGAGCTAAAAGCAGTCCCTCCAGTAGAATTTGCAGTGTCATTCCATGCTATGATAGTGTTTAGATAACCTTGTCCTTGAATTATCAAGTTGGTCTTGTTAGCACTCACTGTCACCTTTTCCCTACCATCATACATATTTGTCATCGTATAGTTTGTAATTTACATAAATGGGTCTTGAAATATTAATGAGATTCCGTTTCGGGTTTAGGGTTTAGGGTCTTGAAATATACCTGTAAATGCCGGAGTTGATTATGATGAGGGTTCTATTAATACTAAGCTCCGGAACAGCATCAACCGCATTTTGGACACTACTAAAATTTGAGCAACCTTTGAAGCCTACTGTCAAAACAAGGGATACATTGTATTCGGACATGAATCTAGAGTTTTTCCGTTTGGTCTGGTCACATGTATGCCTACGCTGACGGTGGTGGTGGTGTCTAGCCACAATGCTTGTTAGGGTGGACAGTAAGCTCTCACCGGTTTGCTCGAAAACCTGATCAAATATGGCAAGCTTGAAGCTGTTTCGAGCACTTTCGGAAATAATGGAAGTTGGGGAAAGAAAGGGGGTGAGGGGGAGGCATTTAAAAGTGGAAAGGAGTGCAATGGCAAAGGCTGAGAGCCAGAAGAAAAGGGTTGTTTTGGTTGTCATGGGTTAGGTTTTGGGAGTAATTAGTTGAGATTTTATTTATGTTATTTGTTCATTATTTATGTAAAAATGGTTGTAAAGGAGGTGAGTGATGATTGGCGTGCGAGCTAAGAATTGTATGGGGCGGCTTTATATGATGTTTGTGCGTATGAAGGTGATTACAAAATCTATACTTTTAAGAGTGTTGGTGATGAGAGAGAGAGAGAGAGAGAGAGAGAGAGAGAGAGAGGTGGGGAGGTCATGGTGGTTGGAAGATGCATACGCAAAGCTTCTGAGAGATTTTGGACATGAATCATGATGAAATGGGGGCAGATCAGGCATGTGTGGTGATGCAATGAGACTTGAACTTGAATTCTAATTTTATCTTTTGAAATATTGGTGTTTGACTATTTTAGCAACAAATTTGGGGCGGTGGGATTCCTAGCTTGATTTGATCATGGTTACTCAAGAAAAAAGTGACTTGCAATCAATGGCACCGCCACTGCAATGTGAGAATTTCTGGTGTACAACCGCCCCCGGACCACTTGTTTGGGTGGCTACACATAACCGGAATCCGACTTTGTAATTTATACCACTCCCATGGATAGGCACAGCAATGTTTTAAAAGGTGAAGGCGTGAGCGAGGAGTTTCATGGATAATCCCGTCTAGACGAAATTCTTTAATATATATATAATGTATAATGTACATATAAATATAAACTTTGTAAAATTATTCATTATCATTCAAAAGTGCACAAGTCAACAAATTTAACCAAGTAATCAAATTAATCGAACAATCAAACAAATAGAGTCAGTTTTGTTCAAAAAAAATAAAACAAACAAATAGAGTTAGACATCTAGAGTCTTAAGTGACTATTTATAGGTATATTTTGAGTAATATTAGGGTAAGATATGTAGTCTTAAAAAAGAGGAATAAGATAATATGATATGATATCTCTTAAGACAAGAATATATAAGGTAAAAAAACAATAAAAAGAAGAGAACTTTATATATAGAGACAAAAACTTCTAATATATTTCAAAAAACTCCACTAGTTTTTAAACATGTCAAGAAGAGACAAAAGCATAAAAACAACTAAAGCTCAGCCCAAAAACATAGAAATAATGTTTTAAATTGCCAACCATACCCCTAAAGCTTTAAGGCTGTTAATAGAACACAACTCTCACAACTTTAACAAAATTAATATGTGCCTTAAGATCAACCCATCCTCGACTATTTATGCAGAATCAATTTGTATCCTTTATTAGTAGAATCAGTTCAACCCGTACTCGACTATTTTTGTAAAATCAGTTCAACACGTCCTCGACTATTTTTGTAGATTCAGTTCAACCTGTCTTCGACCATTTTTGCAAAATCAGTTTAATCAGTCATCAACCATTTTTGCATAATCAGTTCAACCCGTCTTCGACTATTTTTATAGAATCAATTCAACCCATTCTCGACCATTTTTTGCAGAATCAGTTCAACCCGTCATAGACAATTTTTGCTGAATCAGTTCAGCCCGTCCTCAGACGTTTTTGCATAATCAGTTCAACCCTTCCTCGACCATTTTTGTAAAATCAGCTTAACCCGTCATCGATATTTTTGCAAAATCAATTCAACCCGTCATCGATATTTTTGTAGAATCAATTCAAACCGTCCTTGACCATTTTTGCAGAATCAGTTTAATCCGTCATCGACCATTTTTGTAGAATCAGTGCAAACCATAACTATAAACTCACGTGAATGGTTCAATTTACCCATTATTAGAGCAAGTGGTTAAAGAGTTTTTTTTTTTTTCCACTAAGGCTCTTTAACCACTTACAGTGCTTTATAAAGAGGGAATTGACTTCAACTGTGTATGCATGTATCATTCTTTCCGCATAAAAAATAACGATTTCTCTATTACGGAATGAAGATGTGAAGAAATTATACATCAAATTTTAGAAGGCAACATTAATGAAAAGTTTTTGATACTGTTCAATTTAACGAAAAACCATATTTTTACACTAAAAAATCAATTCTTACTATTTACTTTAACCTTTATTTTATCCTTATCGTTAAAACTCCAAGTTTTCAAACTATTTTATTTAGTTTCCTATTTTAAAATCCAATCAATTCAACCTCAAAAAAAAATCTGGAGGTCCATGGATTTGATGGAGTGATTGCTTACATAATGTGGAGAGCAGGAGCTCTTCTTATTCTCTTCGAATGAGGCTGTCCATGGCTTTTCTTTTACTCTCTGCTTGTTTGCGTCTTGTGCTCTAAAAAATGGAGCTTTCTTTTTGTTCTGGGTCGTAACCAAAACAAAGCATCTTCACCATTTCTAATTCTCTGCTTTTTTTTAATGTGAGCCTAAAGGCATAAATTGCCTTTGACCCTTTTTTATGTCTGCCACCGAAAGCAATAAATGGGCTCTTGAATTTGGCAACAAATTCAACAATTAGACAAATTCATACGTACATGCATACAAAAGATTACTGAGGAACAAGGAAGCAATAGAAATAATTGAGGAGGAAGAGGAAGGCGGCTCTAGCTTCCAGGCTTTGATCATGTCTGCGAATCAGAAAGAGAAAATTTTAATGCTATCCAAGCTCTTTCCTTTTTCTTGTCACGAATCAAATCCCTCGCGGCTTGCTTTTCGACTTCGATTACAGCTTCAAGTTGGGCAGGGTGGGATACAAGTGAACTCGATCAATATCCTCCGGAGAATCGTAGGCCCTTTTTAGCAAAGAATTGTAGGCGTTTGGGTATTTTTGTAATTTACACTTCAGAGTAAAAATGTCAATGATGTCATCCCTTAACTTTTCTCTTTTCTTAAAATGTTTAAAATGTATTGTCATAATAAAAAAATTAAATATTAAAAGTATCATCAATGTTATTTTTCCTAAAAATAAAAAGATGTTTATCTTCTCCATTTTTTTAATTTTTTTTTCTGTTGGGATGATGAGAATAATAAGAAACAAAAAGATGGTTATCTATCCATCTAAAATAATATAAAAAATAAAAGTAATAAAAAAGAGTTAGTGAGGTAATAAATGTCTACAAAGTGTTGTCTATTTAAATTTTAAAGAGAAAACAATTGTTAAAAAATGAAAAATCAGGGAAAAAAAAACCTTCGCCATATGTCTTGTTCATCTTCTCCCTTGGGCACGGCTTTGGGTTTTTACAAAAAATAAAAATAAAATACAAAGCAAAAAATTGAAAAAATACAAAAAAAACACATGGACGCCCTGAGGTGCGCGCCTTTGCCACCTAGGCGTGCTCCCGCGACGTCTTACGCCGACTCCTGGAAAACAGATGCGGCAAACCACCCTAGCTTTCAAGGTCGACTAGGCGCGCCCCAAGACAAGTCTTTTAAAACATTAAGGCACAACCAAAACCCTACTGTAATTTTATGAGTCTATTCCGCCAGTGCTCCCACACAGAGCGACCATGAGGCCATTTGTACGCAATAAGAAAGAGGATTTTCTCCCTCTTTCCCTTCCATCCTAGTTGAACGGTTACGATTAAATCACATCGTTTTATATTAATTTTTTTGTAGAGACAATAATACAACCAGCAAAGTGTGAGAGAAGGGAAGGAAAGGAAATAGAAATAAAAGGGGAGAAAACCCTACTCATACAATAACAACTTCCCCTCCTGCAATTTAGGATTTCTTGCTATCAGTAGTTGAACAAATTTATCATCTCCATATCGTTGAGAGAAATTTGGATTATTAAGAAATATGTTGGTAACGATATATTACTTGAAAAATTTATATACTTTTAGTGCCTTACTAGGCTAAATTATAAAATTTAAGAAAGGAGGAAGAGTTTGAACCGAGATGAAGTAGGCAGACCAAAAAGCCCCAACCACCAGAGCAATCCGACCAAAATTGCACAGAAAGAAGAGAATATACGAGAGAAGATTACCAAACGCATGCAGAATGTGTATTATAGAAATCTAGCTATTAAGGTGATGTTCAATAACCAAAAAATGTTGATATGAACAGCAGAGGCTTGACAATTCCAATTCATAAAATTTTACAAACATGAACTGGAAACAAAAAGCTTGCTAATAAAAGATCAGAAAACAAAAATTGAAAAATCTCCCTTCGCTCTCCCCTTCCCTCATGTGCTTACAACCCGGCACTCGGGAACCCTTTTATGTAGCATTGACGTTCCTTTGAATGTCACCATTTGGTAGCAGGTTCTTCGGTAGGTGGTGAGCTGCAGCACGAGGGACGCAACCGTAAGTACTGGGGCACAAGAAAAGGTACGACTAGAATTGAGGCATCAATTAGACACATTTAAACATACCTGCTCCGGCTTCATTTTTGTAAAACCAAATTTATCGGTCCATATGGATTCTGCTTCTTCCGCAGCCGGCAGCACAATACTTTTCACATTCAAGAAAGCTAGCAGCTTTTCAATGCAGGAGAACAATAGTTGGAAGTAGCCCTGTGAAGTTAGGTGATTAAAGTTAAACCATATCAAATTGAAAACTGCAGTGATCCCGTTGTGGGTGGCATAATGAAAACTACCAATAATTAAATATTATATCACAAAACCGCCAAGGAAAAAAGAAAAGCAGGACAAAAAAATAAACATAATCATCTCACAAAAATACAACTTCATATTTATATAGTCTCACCTTGCCATGGTTACCATTACTAGTGGCGACCAAAGGAAGTTCAGCAACTTCATGACCAAAAACACGTATAATTCCAGCTGATACCACAGTTGAGCTGCAAGAACAGACGAGTTCTATCAATTATACGACACGGAAGCAAGTCCACAACCAGAAATCAAAAGAATTCTTACTTGACCATCAGTATTGCACAGTACATATTCCCAAATTCTTGGCTCCTAACATTCCTTCTGAGAGAGAGAAGAAAGTAATGTTAGAAAAGATGGACATGAAAGACTGTCAAAAATAAACCAACTACAACATAAGATATAACATATCCTTATGCCTACCCATAAACCATGGCGGGAATAAGGTCTCGCCCAGATTCTGCATCAACTATAGGATCAAAGCAATCCTGAGACACAAATATCGGAGAATTTCAGTTAGTCATGATGATTGCTCCACTCATGCGTAACAAATGCCTCAAAATGCTTCTTTAATGCAAAAAATGATGAAAAATAAAAAATAACCCTAGTGCATAAAAGCACAGTGCACTGTAAAATTCCTGTCTATCAAAATCAACATTTCAGTCATACAAAAGGGGGAAAAAGAAAATCACCGTAAGAAACAAACACCAACTGCATCAAGTGGGTCCTAAAGAAGTCATCTTGCTCAAGGGGATTGTGCTGCCTATGTGCAATTGTAACCAAAGAATTTCTGGTTTTTTTTTCGTTTTTGCTTGCAAAAGAATTATAGCTAGTTATCAGACAATGCAGAAACTAGACTTCTTTCAATTCATTACTTTTTTTTCCATTAATTATAACAAATCGTCTAAGATATTCAGTTATCACAGAATTTTCCAGAAGGAAAATGTGTAGGGACATACTAACAGAAAGGTTATTACAAACAAATAAAGAAATAGGAAATTCTAAGAACATGACTAAACTAATGTATATTGAATCATGAAAATACAATTGAACGAAAAATAAAATTATATGAACAGCCCTCCAGAAGATAGTGAAAAACTGGAATGATCATAAATTGTTGTAGGCAAGCACAACGTTTTCAAAGCAGAGAGGGCAGCACTTACGTGGAAGATAGCAACAGCCTTTGAAAGTAAAAAACGACATTCCTGAGAAGCAATTTTGCCACTAATAAGTCTCCATCTCACATCAAACCCACTGACAGTCTCCAAACCATTTGCCTCCATCTTCTTCTTTATAACATCCAAATGAGAGTCAGGAAGCTTCTCAGCTCCTCTAGTCAGCAACCTTTGCAAAATAGAATGAATTCTACTGCAGTCTGCGCAACAAAACCACTTCCCTTTTGGCAATTCCTGTTAAACAAGTGACGTCAACAGTCTAAACTGAAAATTAATTTGCAAGGCCACAGGATAAGGAAGGTTTTGCTGATGTGAGTTGTCAAATATGTCCTTCAATTAAGTACTCACCTTTAAATTTGCCATTTTATGTTTCTTCAAACAGCCAACATGATATTCCTTCTCACACTGGCACACAATAAAAGAAGAGTACCATTTGGACATTTAGATAGAAGCAAAAGTAGCATTTCATGTAAAATGCACCAACTATGGCACGAAAAAGAAAAAGTACCTGATCACAAAGTATAATAGTTCGTGGACCAAATCCTGATTTGCTAAAATCATAACCTCTGCATACAGTACCAACAATAAAATAAAAGCAACATAAACAGAAGTATATTGACAGCTATCTGCCACAACTGCATCAGGAATATGTCTAAGACCATAGAATTCAACAAAATAGGTTTCTGATATTACCTACATAAAACGCATCCAGTTAGTTCAGCTTCTATGTCTTTGACAATACGAATGCATCTTTGGGTTATCTGTTCTATAGGATCAATTCCATCAATCCTTCCAGCAGCAACAGCATTTTCATTATGTTCCACAAACTTTTCTCTTTGAAACATATTTTGACAAAACTTACAGTACCAGTCACCACGAGGAACACTTGGTAGAGAAGCACAGTCTGCAGGAGGCAAAAAATTCACACAAAAACTAATATAAGGCAAACACAGTTGCAGAAGTGTACCAGATAAAGAACTCAATGAGTGTTTTCAGATACAATGCATATCTCCAATAACTGAAATGCAAGATTCAAATACAAATGAAATGAATTTCAATTCACCCCATTTACAAAAACTCAATATTCTATACAGACAACACACGAATAAAACAAATTCTAAGAAAATTCTGTCTCCACATCATAAACTTGAAATATAATTAACCAAAGGTTTACAAATAAAGCAATAGCCCTTTTCAGTTCATAGATTCAGTGTAACAACTTGATCTCATCCATTCAAATAGCATCTCCTATTGAGCTTATAAAGGTCGTACCCAGTGCACAAGGCTCCCGCTTTACGCAGGGTCTGGGAGAGGTGAATGTCGGCTAGCCTTACCCCCATTTTATGGAGAGGCTGCTCCCAAGTCTCGAACCCGAGACCTACCGCTCATGGGCGAAGGCACTTGTCATCGCACCAAGTGCGACCTCTTTCCTATTGAGCTTATAAAGAAATAAAATGTCTTACTTTAAAACGAAAACAAAATTGAACTAGCTTTACAGTCAATTACTAGGAAATTAACAATTTTTTATCATACTCCAAAAAATTTTAAAAAAAAATCTTTGTTTCACCTCTGTGGAAGGCCCTAGGGCATCCATCACAAAGCACAAGATTCCCACCATCGGCACAAATGATGCACAAGTCATCATTATCCTTGGCTGCATATTTCCGACCTCTTGACAAAGATATAGCCAACTCGTGGAGAGACACTCCGTTAGATGTGTAAATGTATGCATAGCTGCCAAAAATAAAAATAAAAAAACACAACCATAGAATTATCAAGTGTTTAAGGTAAATTGTGACATAGTTAGCCACTGAATATCTCACAAAAGCTTACGGTTTCCTGCGTGTGGCCCAACCTGCATGGGCCTCAAACTGTGACGGGCTGACCTGCAGATTTTGGATAATAAAAAGGTTAAAGGCTCCAACACAGTTCAAGTACAGTGAACTCCAAATGCTAGCACACAAACCTCACTGTTGCAGCAACAACAAAATATTCCAAATCCTTTCTTGTAACCAACTAGCAATTTCTGCCCAACAGAAGAAATTATTATATTTCAATAAGCCCATAAATGGCATGTAAAAATGACCAATCTTTTTCTAAACGACCTGTCCGCGTGCATAATATGCTACTTCTGTTCCGTCAGGCAATCCACCTTCCTCGAAAACCAACTTATGCAGCCGCTGATCTCTTTAGAAAGATACAACAAAGAATAAAGTGATTATTCACATGTCACAAACGAAAATAAATACTTCATCCAAGATTATGCTCCCCAAAATCATAAACTTTTTAATAATAATCAAAAGGAGGGGAAACCTACTTTGTTGTAATCCTCCACTGACTTTTCTTCTGCGAAGAAAAATACACTGAAGAAGTACTGGGGGGCCTTGAGATCAGAATTGATTTTGAAGATCTGTAAAAAATTCAGACAACCTGTCAAAAAAGATGAAGTACATACGGATAATGTTTGTATATTATTTACTTATCAAGACAATTCACATATCGACTAGGTTTCTGGAAAGAATCAGTTTTCTTGAATTGCTTTTAGAAAAGATTACTAGTCGGACGAAAATAACAACATAAGTCTATCATTGATTATAGTTGTAAATTCAAAGGAAAACTAAGTAGATACCAACTTTGGTGTTATCTTCCATCCACTCTTATAATCTGAACTCTCTGGAGAAGAACTTTTTGACGGATCTGAGATCAAAACTGGCGTTGATGACCTGCAATGAACGTAGAAGCATAAAAAGGGAAGGAAAAGAACCTTCTAAAACCTCAACAAAAAACTATGTCCCTTCAATGATCCAGCTGTTATTTAGAACAAAATAGTCATTTAGGTTGGTTAATTTAGTGCTTCATAACTTATCCATCCAATATATGCACTAACGATACAACAAAAGGATATGGGATGCCATCAAAGAAGAGACATACTTTCTTGTATTCAACTGGGTCTTCTTTTTCAGTGACAAATAGAGTGGAGCACTCTTGGGGGATTTTGACACTGCATTTTTCTGGGGAGTTGAGATTGCACTTCTCAAGGGTTTTGAGATTGCACTTTTCAAGGACTTTGAGATTGTACTTTTCAGGGACTTTGAGATTGCACTTTTCCGGGACTTTGAGATTGCACTCTTGGAGGACTTTGAGATTGAAACAGGTATCAAAGAACTGAGAGAATACAGATGCAAGAACATATGAAATGTCATTTGCATATCTCTATAACAAAAACCGAAAGGACACAACAGCTAAGTAACATTCTTATACTTTACATATGGTTTCAGAAATATAGTATTGTGACTTATGATATAATGTTTATGATATAATGTCCTCAGACTTTGTAATCCCGACAAATGAGAAAACACAGGAGCTGATCCATGTATAATGGCACAGATATTAGATCCAACAAACACATTAGGCTTTTTTTAAGATTCTTTCAATCGGAAAATATCATGATAGATTGTTAAACAATAAATTTGAGCCTCTTGAGTGCACCCAATGGAACTACAGTTTTTCAGAAACAGTTAGCAAACTACAGTCTCAGAATCTCAGAAAGAATACAGCCAATTCCCACCCTAGGACTAAATAAACACATATTGTCAAACTAATACCTATGAAACAGTAACTTGAGGACAGTAATATGTTACCATCAACTTCCTTGTAGACAGCAAACATGAATCATTTGAATCTATGAAACACAAGCATAACATACACTACACTGAGTTTAGCAATGTCCCAATACAGTCCTAGAAGGGTTAAAAACAGCAAAATATAATACTACCTAAGCATTGACCTTATAGAACAAAAAAAAAATTGACACTAATATCTTGATGCTAAAGAGACAAGATGCAGATAAGATTCCCACTAACATAAAATTACGAAACCCCTTCTTTTTATAGCCAATGTCCCAATACAGTCCTAGAAGGGTTAAAAACAGCAAAATATATTACATCAAACACTGGCTAAGTAAGGGGAAATCAAAGGCTACAATCTGGAAAACCAAAATCAACATATTCCGGAGCATAAGTTGACAAAATGACAAAGTTGGATGAGGTAGCTCAACAGGATACAGTACCTGAGACTATTGCCTCTCTCATGAGTTAGGCTGCACTCAGGCTGCTTCGGCTCCATGCAAGAATAGCAAAGAGATCCATCACCCAGAGCACAGTATGGAGGAAAGACACTAGAAATGATAGTGAAAAATAGCAATAAGAAAACTTTTAGAAAATCGCTACAATCAATACGATTAAATTTCTTAATGAAAAAGAATATTGACTAAAAACAAAAACAAAAAAGAAAACAAAAACAAAAACAAAAACAAAACAAAAAACAACTCACCACTACACTTTTTACAAGTAAAATACTTCTCCATGGGTGAAGAACTGATGAACTTCTGAATTGTTGTTTCCAATGTATGCAAAGAAGCATTTCTGCACGACTTCAAGAGATCAAGCAGACTCTTTCCATTCTCAAAACAAATATACTGTGCTGCTCGTCTGTATGTTTTACAAGCATGAATCTCAAATTGGGACGGTGGAATAACCTACATTGATGGGAAAATAAATAAATACACAAACCAAATCCCAAAACAGTTTATAGCATGCTAAACCATATTAGGGTAACAAACATTACTCACTCTGCCGCCGTTGCACAGTATGCATGAACACAAAATTCCACCATCCCTTATTGTGCCCCGCAGACCGAATGCCTAAATTATAATGTGCCACTTTTAGCTCATGAGATATCTTAAACGTATTGAATATGCATATATATGAACTTGGAATTAAATCTACCTTCTTGCTGCCCATGTAAATCACTTGCACCCCATCAACCAAGCCAGTGTCAAAGAGCTCTTTGACTGTTGTAGGTTTCCTGTCCACCACAATCTTCTTTGACATTTTCAATTCTAGCTTATTCTTCAGTGGCGATGTCAGCATGCTGACTCCAACTGTATCTTCCCCCTCTATATTTGAAATCACTTCAACAGGCACAGACCCTGATGCATTTTCCACAGTAGGCTCAAACTTGGGTCTCAATGCTGATCGAGTAAACCGCCTCAATGCCCCGCCTTTCATATCTGTTTCCCCCTCATGATAATTGGGCTCATCTTTAACTACAATTTCAACTAAGTCTGCTTCCATATCGTGCTCCTCACACGAAGACCCTGACCGCTCACTGCCACCCTCATGTCTACAACTGGGTATCTCCAAATTGCAATTTGACTCATCTTTAACTAAACATTCAACTAATTGATGAGATGGGGTTTCCTCAATTCTCGGCTTTTCCGAGCCATTCCGCCCATTTATCTCCGCCCCCTCCGAAACCCCATTACCGCCCTTGATCCGAGCCCTTCTCTCTCGGGTATAGACAATCACACCATTCACAACCGCACCCTTAAACCTCTTACGATTAAGTCTCTCATATACAACAAACGGACTCGTCTGGGACTCGTCCTGAGTCCCAGCCACTGAATCAGCGAGCCGAGTCTGACCCTTCAAAACACAAGCCAATTCCCGCTTCATGCCGGTTCAGTCCCACAAATCGTCCCCAAAATCTGCAAAACCCTCCAAAAAAAAATCGCACACAAAATCAAACAAAATTTCAAAACCCAATTACTAAAACCCTCAAAATCGAGTCTAAAACAAAAATTGAGGGAGGAAGACTGTACCGGATATATCAGATGACGGCCATGCAAGTGAAATCGGTTCGAACTGCAACTCTGAGATGGCTAAGAAATGTGAGAGATTAAGATCGGATGGATATAAATTAGAGTTTATGAAGGACTTTCACTTACTGTTTCTCCAAATTCGAATGGAGATTTGATAGGAGGGAGGCGGAGAGGGCCACGATATCGCCGTTATCGGGAGGGTGAACTGACTCGACTGTCAGCGAGGGGAGAGAGGAGAGAGAGAGGGGAGAGAATCAGATAGACAGCAGTCGCATGATAGGAAGGGTGGGTAATGGTGGGATCCGTAAATAAGTTCAGTGAATAGGTGAAACGACCAAAACACCATCACTCCTAGTTTATCACGCCAACCCACAAAAAAGAAAAGGAAAATTAATTGGCAAAAATAAAAACAAGGAAAATTAATTTTACCATGAAAATATAATATTTTATGGGCCATCTTCAATGAACCGGAAGAGTCGGAGTTTATATTTCATCTTTAATCTTTAATATTAGAAAGCTAGAATGAGAGTTTGGTTTCTCAAGGCTTTACCAAAAAAAATTTGGACTATAAGTCCCTCAAACAAAAAAATCTACAACCAACTGAAAATAGAAGACAAGAGTTAGCAAGGGTATTAGTGTAAACAAATTATAAAACAACGACTATCAAAATCAGAATAAAAATCGAACGTGAAGAAACCACTGTAGAGGAAAAGAAACCACCCGTACTCCACGTTTTGCCGGTAACTGTAAAACTACCAGCCACCCTCATCCTACATAATTGAAAAATTAGTGTGTGGTTTTTCATTCCACGCCATGGATACAAGTGAATCACAACAAAATCTAAAAGGATGGTGAAGACGAGGCAGGGTCATGCATGGGTCTTCTGTCACCATTTTCATAGGTATATTACTCTCTTTCTTTTCTCCCTCTCACACTTACACTTTCTGATATATTTTCCTCCTATTAAAGTTGGTGCCTTTTCACCTTTCATTGAATACTTTATGATGATGTTTCATTGGTCATTTCTTAATTGCTTCAATTAAACTAGTATTAGTTATTTTGTGCTCGCGGAGTTTGTGCTAGAGGAGGTTGGTCGAGGCGGAGCAGGTTGGGTTGTTTCGTGCGACTATAAGGGGTTGGAGAGGTTGGCCATGAGACAGGGGTTGTATAGTGTGAAAAAGGCGCAAGAGAGATAGAGAGAGAGAGAGAGAGAGAGAGTTAATGATTGTTTAGTAGAAATTAATCTATAAGATAGTTAATGGATGGACTGATCGCATTTGAAAGGACCTTGAAGACGATTTGAGTACCAAACTGATAACTATGATCATGGTAAGTGATTTCTGTCATCGCTTCTTTGTTCCATTTAATTGTGGATTACGCATTCTTTTTAAATATCTATACTTTTGGCTCAGCATTCTACTTTGTTCCAACTTCTTTTTCGCCTAATGAGTAGCCTATTTGATTGTATTAACTCTTACTTTGACATTTTTTATTTGTCATTCCTAAGATGGTTTATCTTCCTAACATTGTCTTGATTATTCAGAGAGTAAAATGTCCAAATGTTGATTATCATATTCTGCTTATTTAATTTGCATAAAAGCAATTGCAGATTGCCATAAATATTATTAAAGGAAAAAAAAAAGTAAAGCAGTGACTTATTTGACTATTTGTGAAATTTTTACTTTCTGGAGTTTGTTTCATGTTTATGAGCGTTAACCCAAAAGGTTTTTGCTGCCATGATGATGGCATATGACGTGTAATGTACTTTGTTGGTCAGATGAGAAAGGTTTCATTTGATGCCAACATTATAGTTCCTCTACCCTAACATCTTTCCAAATGTTATTGATCCTGTAGTTCTGGAACCCACTTTTAATTACATCCCCTTAACCATTGTTCGCTTTCTTTGCTTGATGATTATTTTTTGTCCTGATATCCATTAACCACCTTATGTAAAGGGAGCCATGGATGGATGGAAGGAAAGTTCACGTCAGCTGTAGGATAGGCTGGCTCCCGATGATAATAGACGGGCACCTGGCATGTCTACGGAAATGGGGCACAAGCGAGCAAGTGATGGTAGCGATGAGGACCCCAATGTGCCTCCTGGTTTTGGTTGATGAGTTTCCATGCATTTCAGCTTTCACGGTTAATATTTAATCATCAAATTTCAGAGACAATGCAGTCCAAGATCAATCTGTGGTAACCACTTAATGAATTTTATATTGAGTTGTTCCAATGGGAAAGTTCTCTGTAATTCCTTGATAGAATGCGCTATGTTGACATATGTTGCACGTGAGAATTTGCCCCTAGGTATTTAGTGTATTCAAAATTATTAGCTTCCTTAAAACTCTGTATGTCGCGCGTAGCGCGCCGTTATGTAGAAAAAGCCTGCATAAAGGCTAGTTGTAAATTAACTAATGAGTCTCAATGCACCGGAAAATATTAGAGTCGTATATGACTTGGATGTTATATGCAAAGTCATATTTGATTTTGGATATAACTCTAGAGTTAAGGGTGTGACTTCACATTAAAAGTATACAAAAGTTATAGAGTATTTATCATTAATAGTCAAACTTTAACACTCAATTTCATGAATATCACTTTTTATAAAAACTTTTAAATATAACATAAAACTCACATGAATAGACCTATATACCCTCAAAATCTAAAACCATCTACATAGAAGTGCTTCACTGCTTCCCGAGAATTCTTAGGACATCAGTGTTGTAACCTTCAATTGTGAAACTTCGTAAACCCTAATGTTGTTAGTGACAGTCCCCACAACCATAGCAATCTTGTTATCCTTTCCTTACATATACTTAATCAACCTCGAGAGAGAAAGTGGTGCCTTGTTGACCTTGCTCATGAACAAACATTTAAGAACAATTGCATTTAACTTGCTTCTAGTCTTCCGGACAAGAAAACGATACAATTGGGCGAGAAGCTTGAGATAGATATCATCAGACCTGGGCCCAATGCGCTTCATCTTCTTACTCTTACCTCCTACCACAAGATTGATCCCCATTATTACTACTAGCGTTGAAGCTTGGTTGCTCGGGATGCCATTTCGAAAGTGTTAGGCCTTTATCTAGTCAATTCATTGAACAAATATGGATCATGTACTTCCATATGGTTTAGCCAAGGATGAAGACAGTTGGAGAAAAAGAGTGATTGCTTTCACGGTCTTGTACCCATAAGAAGGGCTTTTAATGGTACCTTCATTGTTGGCAACAACTTTTGCTGGTGATGGGTACGACAAGGAGGTTGGGAACAATGATATGGATGAGGGATGTGCATCTTATGGTCCTTGGTTCTTGGTTAACCCAAAATTCTTTAGTTTATGTTCATTTGGTTTCAATTTGAGGGTATTTAAGTGGATTTTCTGTTCTTTTTGAAAGATTTTTTAAAAAGTGACATTTATGAAATTTGGTGTTAAATTTTGGCTATTACCATTAAAAACTCAAAGTTATACTTGAGTCTAGAATTGGTGGTGTAACCTCTCTCTAATGCATAAGAGCTAGTTAAAGTTCAAATTTAATCCCCTATGCTTTGAAAGTATTGTAACTTGCACCATCACATTTGAAGTCAAGTACAACTTTGTTTTACAAATAATATCGTTAGTGGGTTAAATAAATAGTTGTTAAAGAAGGAGAATTGGTGGGGTTTAAACTTGTATCATAATGCATAGGCATGATTGCTTTTTTTGCCATTATGGTATGTGTCATCTGCAAGTCAAATATGATTTTATAATTTTAACTTTTGCCTTTGCAATTATAAATTACCTTAGTTGACTTGGCAATATTGCACATGACTTGTCGACATGGAACAAAGTATTTGGAATGAGTAGATTCCGGTTGAAATAGGTGAACTGCTTACTGTCAGCCATAAATATTTGTTTCAATTTGTTAAGAACATTATTTATACATATCTAGGGGTAGATTTATTTGCCAAATTACCATATCAACTGAATTGCCAATGATATCATACCAATTTTATGCCAAATTTTTTGTGTCAATAGATAATGGCACGGTATTGTACTGAACCAAAATTTTATGGCATGATATTAGTATTCGATACCATTATTGATGGTATTACTGTACCCTACTGAAAAAATATAAATATATGTTATACAAATTATACATATACATATATATATATAACAATTCAATAATAAACGGTATTCAACTTTAATTCTTGTTCTAATTGTTAATAATATGTTTTCTTTGTATGTAGACTTGACACAAGCTCAACCTCAACCTTCTACAAGTTCAAATTCAATGCCTCTTCCAAATACTTCTTCTACATCTCAAGCTTGAAGAATTGATCAATGAATTTTTATTTTTTGAAGTTTAGATCCACTTGGAAATTTTCATTTGGTTTGAAATTTTAACTTCTATTTAGATTGTAAACTTAACTTCCATTTTTGGTTTGTAACTTCCATTTGGATTGTAACCATAATTTCCATCATGAATTTTGATGCATCATTTGACATATTAGTATGTGTGTGAATTGTGAATGATGAATGATAGATGAATTTAGGCTACAATATATAAGATAAAAGGCACCCAAAAAAAATATTGCCCTTGAATTGGGTAGGAAAAAAAAAATCAGGTTTTGGCCCCAAACAAAGTGGCAATTACCACTACCATACCATGCCAACTGAATTATTTGGTATACCGAAATTCGATTCACCCATAATGCCAATTGGCATACCGAAATTCAATATACCGAAAGTTCGGTACGGTAACAGTAATATAATTTGTCAAATCAAAAGTTTGGTATGAGGGTTTTGGTACGGTAACCATACCAAACCTACCCCTGTATATATCTCGCTAGTTTTTTTTTAAATGTAAAAACAACTTTCTCACCCTCCTTTGAATTCGAACCACCCATCGTTACTATCATTTATTTTTGTAACAGAAGAATAAAAATTGAAATTTTTTTAGGAGAGAAATAGAATTAGTGAGATAAATAGTTCGTTGTTAGGGTGGAGGGGAATCAATTGAGATTGAATCCGCATAAGATGCATAGACATGATTGTTTTCCGTCACTACGATACAACGCCACTTGATTTTGTTTAAAAATCTATTTATCTTTTTATTATTATTATTATTAAGGAAAAGGGAACGAGTTCAAAACTATTACAATACTTTAGGGTTGAGAAGCTTCGAATTCAGGATACATCAATAGAAACCCATCTTATCCACTAGAATATTAGACTACATACATCTATTTATCTTATAACTATATTTGATAAATAGATTGAGCATTTGTTCTTTTGAGTTGTAT